TAGTAGAAAAACAAAGTTGGTAGCATAAACGTTCATTGGCTAAATCTACTTTCTCTAATGCACATTACATATAACATATAACCTTTGATTGTAAAAGCAGTCCTTTAAAAATAATAGCTGTTAGCACAATTAGTTTTATGTACATGGGTTTTCTCATTTTGGGAGATAAAAATGGCGAAAGGCATTTTGTAAGGATTCTGCCTTCAAAATTACACAATTTTCCTTTTTTTCTTAAAGAAATCTAAAGTTCAAAAGTAAAGGAGTGAAAATTGAATTGTGTTTTAAAGTAACATTAACTATAATGAATTACTTAGCTGTGTGTAACAATTCACATAGCAAATTACTTATAAAAATTACATTTCCAAGCTGAAGAAAGTCTTTGAAAAAATTCTGTTGCAGTGCATGTCTCTGCTGGATTAATTTTGACACCACATGAAACCACAATTCAGCTTCTTTATTAATAGGACTAGCTGTCCCCTGCCACGCGTTGCTGTGGCCCAGTCTGGTGATCTGTAAAATAAATTAATGGTTTCTAATATATGTAATTCCTTTATGCTTGTGGAGTAAGCAGTATTCCTTGTTGTTTCTATGCCAGTGTTGAGGTGCAGATTGTCTGGTTTGCCTACTCTAGAACATGTGACATATAATTGTCCTTCTTTAGGGGTCACTTTCAAATCAATGATACTATATCTATGTGGGTGTCTGAATCATATCTATCTATCTATATCTATGTCTGGATGGCTCTTTGTCAGGAGGGCTTTGATTACGTTTTCTTGCCCTGGTGAAGGAAGTTGGATTGGATGGCCTTAAGTATGGGAGTTCTGTGTGGGAAGTTTGCCCCAATTCTGTCATTGGTGGGGTTCAGCATGCTCTTTGATTGTAGGTGAACTATAAATTCCAGAAACTTCAACTCCCAAATGTCAGGGTCTATTTTCCCCAAACTCCACCAGTATTCACATTTGGGCAAATTGAGGATTTCAAGTTTGGTCCGGATCCATCATTGTTTGAGTCCACAGTGATCTCTGGATGTAGGTGAACTACAACTCCCAAACTCAAGGTCAATGCCCACCAAACCCTTGTAGTATTTTCTGTTGGTCATGGGAGTTCTGTGTCCCAAGATTGGTTCAATTCCATCATTGGTGGAGTTCAGAATGCTCTTTGATTGTAGGTGTACTATAAATCCCAGCAACTACAACTCCCAAATGACAAATAATTTTTTTGAGTGAAGGACATACATTGGGTTGTTAGGTGTCTTGTGTCCAAATTTGGTGTCAATTCGTCCAGTGGTTTTTGAGTTCTGTTAATCCCACAAACGAACATTACATTTTTATTTCAGTATATTCTGGCGTATAAGACTACTTTTTAACCCAAGAAAATCTTCTCAAAAGTCAGGGGTCATCTTATACGCGGGTGTAGTCTTATGCATGGGATTTGTCTTAACTCTATATTTTAACTGGAAAAGTTGGTGGTTTTTGAGTTCTGTTAATCCCACAAACGAACATTACAGTTTTATTTATATAGATTTTTTGGTCTCCTTCCTTTGGGACTCACAAGATGAGCCCATGATAATGTCATAAACTAGGGCCTGATAGTATCACTAGGGTGACCCACTGATGTTACAGGTTTGTTAACTTGGGAAAGACAAAAGTCTACCGTCTGGGCTTGAGTAATGTGTGATGTCGTTTGGATAATGGAATCGTTAGCATATGTTCCATTGGATTGCTGGCCAGTGTAATTTCTTGTTTCCAATAAAATCACAGCAGACAGAATGAGTTTAATCTAAAAGAAACATTTGTAGTAGATGTAAGATGCAGAACTCATATCCAGTCACTGTGGTTTAGATTCCCTGGCAAGAAAGCCCACTTCTGGCACAGCAGCAATACAATATTTGTAGCAGAATTAATTTACAATAGTCATTTAAAATAATTGTATGGTTGCATTCGTTAAATAAAATCCCCCAAGACATAACCATTGGTTGGTGCAAAGTTGCATGAAAATTATGTTGCCTTCTATCTAAATCCCTCACAAAAGCCGGTGTTTTAAGACAGAAGCATTCAGAAGACAGCTCTCTGTTCCACTCCTGGCTTTGTCTTACTTCTTTCAAGTGAAGAACTTAAAAATTAAATGTATTAGGAATGGAATTTTAAATGGCTCCATTCATACCAAGCCTGAATTACATGGAGATTTTCCTATTGCAATTTAATATTTTCTTGACCATGCTGTCCAAAGTTTCAGTCAGGACAGTCTATAAAGTAAAACAAAGCAAATTTCTCCCCCAGTGGACAGCAGTTTATATCCATACAATTTTCTTGGGTTTTGTTCCTATTCATGAAAGTGCTAAACTGGCTTGGATAATTGGATAAGAAAAAATATAGCAGAGCAGTGACAAAAATATTTGCATATGTATTAAACAGGATGCCATAGAATAGCTTTCTTCCATCCTAGCCTGTACTAGAAATCCTATTACTCCCAGACATCGATCAGCCTGTAGGATTTGTACTGTCTTCATTTGGCAGATGCCAAACTCTGAAAGTAATACTTTTGAAGCAGGCAACCACAAAACATTCCACTTGCGGTCAACAGTGAAAGCCAGATTATTCCTGCCATTTTCTGTATCCATCCTATGATGTCTGATGGTACTGTTAACACTGACAAACCAGCAGGATGATATGCTGAACCTTCCCTTCTTCCAACTTTAATGTAAACAGATGAGGTTTCTGAGCTCACGGATGGTTAATGAGCCATGCTAAGCTTTATGATTTCTACCAATCTATATCCAGATGTTGCTGGACTGCAATTCCCATCAGCCCTAGCCAAGATAAACAATGATGTGGTGAAGTGGTGAGGTTTTGCTTTGATCATTTCCTGACATCAGTGGTGAGGGTAGGTGAGGAATGGTGTGAGCTGCAATCCAAAACATCTGGAGGACTACAAATCACCTTCATGGTTTATGGCAATAATAAATACATTTGATTTTTTTTAAAAAAGAAGAAGTAAGAAATAGCCATTGATCAAAGTTTTAAAAAAGTAAATATTGGCCCAATGTCAGTCAGCCAAGATTATTGCATAAAGGGAGATCATGCTTTTTGCTTTTGTCTGAGTGATTAACATGCGATAAACTGCAAACGTATTGTTTTATATGTTTTTAAACTGTTTTAAAGTATTTTATAACTATTTATATATTTGTAATGGTACATAAGCTATGGCTTCGTATGGTTGCCTACTTGTAAGCCACCTTGGGCTCTCTCCGGGGTAGAGAAAGGCGGGGTAGAAACACCGTAAATAAATAATAAATAAATATCCTTGAGAAATTTAGTTACAAATACACATATACATCAATAAGGGAATATTTTACATTCCTCTTTTTCCACCCATACGGGGACATTGCTTTCTTTGTAATTCAAATTAATGAAGTGTATCTACTGTTGCACCCTTTAACTTTTTCAGCCTTTTAATTTGTCGTACCAGAAAAATATCAAAGTTTTCCCTCGATGTATATGTATGTATATGCATGCACCAGTGTAAAATATGACTGGCATTCAATGCTGCAGTTAAAGATTTGTAACCTAGATTTACGGATCCATAATTGCTCCATATTCAGTAAAACTATTTAAATATCTTCCTACCTCGCCTTCACAGTCAGCAGCTAGATTGTAAGAAGGAGGTTATTCAACTGCTGATTGGAGCACAAGAAGAATAATGTTTCCAATCCTTCTTGCCAGCCCACAAGATTCTTGTTGCATGTCCTTGCCTAGCCTTGTTTGTTGACAGAAGACAATTGGAAACTTCATCCTTTTTGAGTCAGTGGTTGAACAGACCTCCTTCTTCCAATCTGGCACCTGGCTCTTAAGGTGGGATGAAAGGGTTAGGATAAGAGATATTACTTAGTTACACATGCAGAACTAGGTAGCTAATGTAATGTGTCTGTCTAGAAAGCATTTAAGTTATCAGTGAGGAGGAGAAATTCTTGCTGGTCCTGTGGGTGCCACATCAGCAGAAGCATCCACAATGGCTAGGAACTTAGCTTGAGCTCCATGGCTGGTTAGGTCTGGCAGAAATGACAACACAGGGATGACATTTTCATTTTTCCACTTAACAACTTCATGTAAATCACTCAGACAAGAGATGTGACACTTAACTTATAGCATATGTTTCTAATGGATCCTTCAGTGGTGCAGTGGGTTAAATCCTTGTGCTGGCAGGACCGCTGACCAAAAAGTCAGCAGGTGTGAGCTCCCATCTGTCAGCTCTAGCTTCTCATGCGGGGACATGAGAGAAGCCTCCCACAGGATGGTAAAACATCTGGGCATCCCCTGGGCAACATCCTTGCAGACAGCCAATTCTCTCACACCAGAAGCGACTTGCAGTTTCTCAAGTCTCTCCTGACATGAAACAAAATCTGTTTCTAATTTGTAAGGCAAATATCAAATTCTAAAAGCTGATGTAATTATTTTGCAAAGGGTGGAAAAACCAACGTGTTTAAAAATGAAAATTTAAAAATACGTTCTGAGACCTGTAGTACAACAACAACAACAACAACATGCTCTTCCTTGGGATAACTCACAATTGAAATAACCAATTACAAATTTCTACTGTTTAGAAGGCAAAAGATCCTCAAAGAATTCAACAGTATTAGTTACTGCAAATTTTAATTCCCCAGAACATAGATTCTAGACAAATTAGCATAAAATAATGGCTATAATTGGCAGACTAGTAAGTCTCAAAATGTTACTCTCTGAAAATATTAGATATTAGATTAAGTGTCAGATAAATTTGATTCTGTTTCAAAACTTCATGTGGTGTTAAGTCCCTTTTCTCCCCTTCTGCAGGCTCAATTATAGCATCCATAATGAAACAACCCTCCTGAAATTGGAACATTATTATGGGTTGAACATTGAAATGCCATGGAAACTTCGAGATGTTGACATTCATAATTTTGAAAAGCTACTCTTTTGACTCTTCAGTATGTTTCAGCCGCATGCTTTTTCTTTTCATTCTAGGCCTGTCCCAGGCTCACTATCATCACTACTGCACCTGCACAACCGACAACGACAGCCCATGCCTGCGTCTATGCCTGGGACTCTACCGAATCCCACCATGCCTGGATCCTCTGCAGTGTTGATGCCAGTAAGTGTACTTCATATGTGTGCAAAAACAGAAGATGAATGTAATACACTTTATGGATTCTCATGCAACAAAAAGCATCTTATTCCTTTCTGCTCTTGAAAGTGGAGGGTCAGCCCCTGGTTAGTACTTGGATGGGAAGCTGTCAAGAAACAGTAGGCATTTTGGCTACATTTCAGAGGAGAGAACTAGCAAAACCACCTCTGGGTATTCAATGCCTAACCCTATGAAATTCATAGGGTCACCATAAGTCAATAGGTGCCTTGAAGGTGCAGTAGACTCTCACGGCCTTTCCACACAGCACCTATATCCCAGGAACTGATCCCAGATTATCAGGCAGTGGGGACTCATATATTCCAGTTTTCAGCAGATAATCTGGGACCAGATCCTGGGATAAAGGGTAGTGTGGAAGGGTCCTTAGTGTATCTGTAAGGGGTTGGTACCAGGACTGCTCCCCATACCAAAATCCATGGATACTCAAGTCCCATTATATGCCATGGCATAATAAAATTTTGTCCTCTGTGTAAAAATGTGAACAATTCAAAGAAGTGCAAGAGAAAGCCTGAGGATCTGTGAAATGGCAGGAGGCTACAGCAATGTAGCGCTAATCAGGTACCAAAATAAAGGTGAGCTTCTGCTGTTAGATTCAGCTTCTGCCAACCTAGTAATTCGAAAACATGCAAATGTGAGTAGATCAATAGGTAACACTCCAGCAGTAAGGTAGTTACCAACACCCCATGCAGTCATGCTGCATGACCTTGGAGTACGGACAATGCCAGCTTAGAAATAGAGATCAGCACCACCCCCAGAGTCAGACATGACTAGACTTGAAGTCAGGAGAAACCTTTACCTTTACATTTTCATGAATATCTTCAATGATAGTTGGTAGAATCCATAGATACAGAAACCATGAATACATAGAACCAACTGTGTACACATACACATGTTGCAGAGCAGGACACGTCAGTCCTTCAGACATACAATTGCTTTCAAATTATACGCAGAATCTGAATTACAAATGTTATGACTGTGGCCGTCATCCTTTTAGAGACAGAGATGTGTATTAGTGTGACTTATCCATGCATATGTCTTTTCTGGGATGGACACAGGGTAATATTCTCTTGATCCCGCACTCTGTTCCAAAAACTTCTGCCCCCCCCCCCAATGTAAGTCTGATGGTGTGCTACCGCTTATCAGTGGGAAGTGGAGGAAAACTGGAAGCAATTTGGACCATGAAGATATGAATGCCTTAGGTTCTTGGGAGAAGGAAAAGAAAGATGAGTGCACCCTTGTTTCTCCTCTCCTCCTGATTATGGACCTCTGTTTCACAATCCAAGACTGGGAGAATCAGAGCTTGTGTTAGGGGATTTGAATACAACAGCATCAGTGTCTGGTGTCTGGAAATCCCCAAACCTAACTTTTCCAACAATTGGATTGAAACAGCTGCACATGTCATGTTTTTCCCCTGAAAACATTCCCTATACTGTTTGAATAAATAATCTTTACACATTTCTCACACAGCATGGTTGGTAGGAAGATGTTTCTAGTTTTGCTTTGTCAATTGACAGTATTGTAACAGTTTGCAACAATCTAAGGGAGATGTGTTGACCCCCCTCCCAAGGGTCATCAGTACAAAAAGCCTTCGATTTCAAACACTTTAGACCATGCATTTTTATTTATACCTTCAACAAGTTGGTGTGGGCTGCTTCTACAGTATGAGCCATAATTTCATACTGTGACATTTTAAAAGCCACTTGAGTTTCAGTGTTTTTTCTAAAAAGAAAGAAAAATCATTAGTGAAACCCTCAGAACTAAGTGACTGATTTGTTCTTTTGACAAAGAGGCAAGTGCCCATTGATTCTTGGGTAAAATCATTTCATGGGCTATGTTTTTTGTCCTCAAATAAAGCTGTTGCTATCATATAGGGCCATAATGCTGGCTTCTGGGAAGCAGGAACAGAAGGCAGCTACAGTATTCATGTCCTGCTCATTGGATTCTTAGATACTGGCTGGATGAGTCCAGAGTAGTCCTCATGTGGCATTACTGAGGTCGTATTGCAATTCCAAGATCTATCAATAGCTAGATCTGGTGGCTTAATGGTCCACCAATAAGCCCACCAGATCTATTTTGCTAGCTGTGCCGTCTTAAAATAGTAGAACCCTTTTCTCAGGTGGCCTACATCTTCTCCATCTGACAAAAACCAGAATATAAGTTGTTGTTCCAAGACCATCTGATTTTTTAATTTTTATTTTCTTCACAAGATGGAACGTCAAATGTCAATGAACTCCAATATCATGGGAATGCAAGGCCCAAACCTCAATAATCCCTGTGCTTCACCACAAGTCCCTCAAATGCACTCTGAAGCCAAAATGGTAAAGTATTAATATGATGCTTATATACATATATTTTAAAACCTTATTATATTATTGTTTTTCTGGCCGGCTGCATGATTGTCTCTCTGCTCTAGAGAGGTTTGGGATATTATTTGATCTTGCTATTTTGACTATGATTTAAGAATACTGGGCATAGTGTTTTCAACTGAAGATATGTATTTTCTTGGATTTTTTTGAAATCAGCAGCAGAAGGCATTCTGTGAAGCTTAAGGAGGCATAATAACTATTTTGTCTGTGAGATGATATGCTGGTTAAATTTGCTTGGGCTGGAAAATCTTTCATTTTTGTTGTCAAAATATTTGATTTTGTGTCCTAACCATGGTATGGTGGTGACCTTTCTCCGTGACTTCTGAATTTTAGAAATCTCAGAATATGAAATAATAGAAATATTAGAATTATCATGTTGCTAGTGTATGATTATATTGGCATATATAACCACTTCTTCACTACTTAATTAATCTGCAATATCAGATAATACTAGTCTGCATAACACTTCTGATCAAACAGAAATCAGAATTCTTCTTTTGAAAAAAAAAAACTTGTATAAAACTAGTTGGTTCTAGCTGTGCACTTTTATAGTTAGTTGTTAAATTGTTGACTGCATTTCTTGTTGGTTGCTCAGATCCATTTTCTTTTGTGCAAAATTGTATATAGAATTTTGAGAAAGTGGCATAAAATTTGAAAAAAAAACCTCAAAAAGACTTTTAAAAAGTCATTTGAAAAGTAATGTGTACGTCCGACTCACTACTCAAAAACTGGAATGATGATGCCATTGACTATATAATTTTAAGGACAAAATGGGTCACATGTGATGTTGTAACGTGCTATTTCCAACTGCAGATCTAAATAGGAATTTAAATTCATCTGGGGAGGCCCTGCTCTCAATCCTGCCTTCTTCGCAGGCGCGTCTGGCGGGAATGAGAGACAGGGCCTTCTCAGTGGTGGCTCCCCCTCGGCTGTGGAATTCCCTCCCTAGGGATTTTAGATCGGCTCCCTCCTGACCTTCCAGCAAAAAAGTAAAAACCTGGCTCTTTGAACAGGACTTTGGAAATGCAGGGCAATAGACAAACATGGAATTATGTAAAATTGAAACATGAAACGGTTTATATGATGCTACTGGAAAATGCGATTAACAGGAAGACATTGGTTATTATATGTTTTTTAATAGTTTTGTATGGATTTTATAATGTTGTTTTAAATATTTTTAATTGTATATTGTGGATTGGTATGGCATCATATTGCTACCAACTTGTAAGGCGCCTTGAGGTCTTCGGACTGAGAAAGGCAGGAAAAAATATTGTAAATAATAATAATAATAATAAGCGTATTTTGTAAACACACTTTGCCATGTATGCATTTTAAAATATATTTAGTAATTTCTTTGAGATGAGGACTCTGTTGGAAGCTTCAGGTAGTTGTGATCTGCATATATATTGGGCTCATGTACACAATGTAAGCTCGTATTGAAATACAGAAAAATTAAATCCTTCGGCAATTCCAAGAAAACAGAAAATTCCATTTTTGCTTTTTATCCCTAAACCTTACATCTCCATGTTTTTTTATACACTTAGACATATTCCTATTCTTTGTATGTGCCTAGTATTCCTGTCTAACAAGATCAATTCCTCTCATCCTTAGCCATTGGCTCTGATGGCTTAGGTTTACAAGAGTTATAGGGGAAACACCTAAGGACCCTAGTTTGGGAAGGCTTCTCCTTAATTTCCATTCCTCATGGCTTAAATGTGCAGATTTACATGATAATGTGTATTGTAGTACAAATCTGAAGGACACAGATAATATATCTGTGAGTGATACCAATTCTGATACTGATTTAGGAAATAAAAATTGCAAATAACTTAGCCAAATCAGAGAAGGTGCTTGCACCAGTAAAAAATACATTAATAATTGGGAGACTGCTTGATGCCTGGGGGCCACATATTGCTACCACATGCTTATAACTGCTCATTACTGAACTGAATGAAAACCATCCTGTGTACTTTTGAAGTTACTGTTGTTTGCTAGAGGAGGTGAAGGGAAGTATTTGCCTGCCAGCAGATAGGATACATGGTTCTGGTACATGGGAATGGTCACATCTTTACCGCCATATAAATTTCAGTTGAGCGGCCAAACCAAGCCTTTTTAACACCTCAACTGAAACCACACTCTGTAAACATGCAGTTGGTAAGCTCAAAGAGCAAATGTAGCCAAAAGAGTTGGCAACACGAGCCAAACTAAATCTGTGGTCGAGGGTTTTTTTCCCTTCTTCTCTCTGCTGTGTGCCATACAGTAATTGTGATGTGCCAGAAAGCAACAGCATCTGCAGCACATCGTATTAAATCTTTCTGGATTAAGCTGCCGGCAAGTTTTTTCCCCTCTTCAAACCCAAGCGATGTTGAGCCAAGCAAAATAGTTCTTGGCTGAGTGGGAGGGAGGGGAAAAAAACCACCACACTGGCATGCCTTTCAGAGTAATGCATTACAGAGGCTAACGTTTCTGCTATGGCTTTGCCTTTCCCAGCGCATTGTGTGTGTGTTTTAATGGAACTCTGAGGCTTTTAAAAACAAAATTATTGATACATATGGTGGGAATGCTGTTCTTTAATATGAGAAATTAAGTGGATCACTTTTTAATCTGAATAAATTTGTTTTGGCTCAAAGACTCCACTTTATGAAGGTGTTGACTTGGCAAGCCTTTCCTTAGGAGATCCTTCCAAGAGGCAGTGTACAACAGGATGTCATTAACCTGTAGCCTTAATTGCTTTTAATAGAAGCCATATTTAAAAGAATTATACTGTGCATTTATGTGCATTAATCATACATATAATTAAAATTTGACTGCACACTAATATTCTTATAGTAGTGTGCCATTTTCTTCAGTATTGTGTATGTAAACTGTGGCTTGTAAATCCATTTTCTAGTCCTAACTAGAACAGGCATATTGAATGTCTGTTCTAATGGAAACTTAGGCTCATCCCACTGATTCATCAAGAGCCCTTTGCAGCACATTATTATTTTGCTGTATGTACTCATGTATAAGTTGATCTTATGTATAAATCAAGGGCAGGTTTGGGGGTCCAAAAATACAGATTTTGAGATAACCCATACTTAAGTTCAGAAAGGGGAAAATACCAATACCACCTTGGAAACCAGCTGTCATTTTCCTGTCCAGGTATTCAAAAAGACCAGAAGCAGCCCTATGGCAGAGAGAGAAGAGGAGGTTGTGCTTCTTTTAGATTCTCCTGTGATAGTCTAGGCTTTCAACTTCACTACTTTGCTAAGAAAAGGGGGAGGGGGTCCTTTTTTTGATAGGAGCTAAGACATAGAACTTGCATTGACCCACAGATAATCAACCATTTTTTTGGTTATGGATTCTAGACTTATACATGAGATATATGAGTCATGACAGCTTCCTATGGCATCCTATGGTTTATAATTTTAGAGAAGACCCCTGGGAGGTATTAGAGGGGTCGCCAAAAACCATCAGAAAACACAGTATTTTCTGTTGGTCATGAGGGTTCTGTGTGGGAAGTTTGGCCCAATTCTATCATTGGTGGGGTTCAGAATGCCCTTTGATTGTAGGTGAACTATAAATCCCAGCAACTACAACTCCCAAATGTTAAGGTCTATTTTTCCCAAACTCCACCAGGATTCACATTTGGGCATAGTGAGTATGCTTGCCAAGTTTGGTCCAGATTCATCATTGTTTGAGTCCACAGTGCTCTGTGGATGTAGGTGAACTATGTCTCCAAAACTCAAGGTCAATGCCCACCAAACCCTTCCAGTATTTTCTGTTGGTCATGGGAGTTCTGTGTGCCAAGTTTGGTTCAATTCCATCATTGGTGCAATTTAGAATGCTCTTTGATTGTAGGTGAACTATAAATCCCTGCAACTACAACTCCCAAATGACAAAATCAATCCCCGCCCCAACCCCGCCAGTATTCAAATTTGGGTGTATCGGATATTTGTACCAAATTTGGTCCAATGAATGAAAATACATCCTGCCTACAGATATTTACATTACGATTCATAAGAGTAACAAAATGACAGTTGTTAAGTAGCAACAAAAAATATGGTTGGGGGTCACCACAACATGAGGAATTGTACTAAGGGGTCATGGCTTGAGGAAGGTTGAGAACCACTGTACTGAGATTTCTAAATGTTCCACCTAAACTGCAAATCCTAGAATTTCATAAGAAGTTGGAATGATAGTTTAGGTGGGATTTTGTAAGATAGTAACATAGTGCAGTATTTCTCAAACTTTGCTCCTCCTGATGTTTTGGACTTCAGCTACCACAATTCCTAACAGGTGGCAAGCTGGCTGGGATTTCTGGGAACTGAAGTCCTAAACATCTGGAGGAACAGAGTTTGAGAAACACTGGCTTGTGTGATAGAATCCCTTGTCTTCTTTTGTTAGGACTACAAATTGGGTTTAGGGCTTTGATCACAAACTAAGAATTGTTTAGACAGTCATGAATATCAAGTTGCTGGTACAAGATGAACAGGAGGACAGTTGGGAACTTATGGCATTGCAACTAGGGACATGAGCACAAAGAATTGCTATTCCTGCCTAGAATAGACCCATTGAATCAAAATGATGTATTTAAATGTTGACTTAACATACTGCAGTTGAATCAATGAGGCTAGAACTCAGTAGTGTGCAGTGGGATAGGAATCTAGCCAAGCTGGCCCTAGACATTCCAGAGTTGTGAATGACAAAAACTGTTCCACAGATGTACCCATGTTGTTCCTGGGTGAGTCTGAGTAATGTGATATTTTGAGCAGTAAATACCCTAAGGGCATCAGATCACATTTGATTGTAGAAGCTAAAAAGGGTAAGCCATTGTTAGTACCTGGATGGTAAACCACTAATGAATACCAGGTGCTATAGGCTGTATTTCAGTGAAATGGGCAGGAAAAACACCTCTGATTATTATTTTTCCAAACCCTATTAAATTCATGGGGTCAGTATACATCAATACA